TCCTTACCACACCTCCCCACAGACAACAAAACACTGACAACCCCCCCACACCTCAGCACAACCTCCACCCCACATCACCACAGACCAGGTCAGAGAACAGCTGAGGAAGCTCAAGCCCAGGAAAGCAGCAGGGCCGGACCAGGTGTGTCCAAGGCTGCTGAAGACCTGCGCTGCTGAACTGGGAGAGCCACTACAGCGGATCTTCAACCTCAGCCTGCAGCTAAGGGAAGTGCCCACCCTCTGGAAGACATCCTGCATCGTCCCAGTGCCCAAGAAGAACAGGCCCAGCGAGCTGAATGACTTTCGGCCCGTGGCACTCACTTCACACCTGATGAAGACGTTGGAGCGGCTCTTCCTCGGCCTCCTCAGACCTCAGGTGGAACATCAGGACCTCTTGCAATTCGCCTACCAGGCAGATGTTGTGTGGATGCCATCCTCTACCTGCTGCACCGGGCCCACTCCCACCTGGATAAGGGCAGTGGCACAGTGAGGATCCTTTTCTTGGACTTCTCCAGTGCCTTTAATACAATCCAGCCCCTTCTGCTCCAGGACAAACTAAACAGCATGGGAGTGGACCAGCACCTGGTCACCTGGATCCATAGTTACCTCACCAACAGGCCACAGTATGTCAGGCTAAAGGACACCGTGTCTGACACTGTGGTCAGCAGCACAGGAGCCCCTCAGGGCACAGTGCTGGCCCCTCTTCTCTTCACCCTGTACTCCTCTGACTTCCACTACAACTCGGAGCTGTGTCACATACAGAAGTATGCTGATGACACACCCATAGTCGGATGTATCAGGGACGACGGAGAGGAGGAATATCGCTGTCTGGTGAGGGACTTTGCTCTCTGGTGCCACACAAACCACCTGGAACTCAACACCTCTAAGACGAAGGAGCTGGTTATAGACTTTGGGAGGTCCAGACCAAAGCCGAGACCAGTCGTACTAGAGGGAACGGAGGTTGAGGTCATGGGCTCCTACAAGTACCTAAGGCTGTGGCTGGACAGTAAACTGGATTGGTCAAAACATACCAGCCACCTGTACGGGAAGGTGCAGAGCAGGATGTACTTCCTGAGGAGACTGCGGTCCTTTAACATCTGCAGCAAACTGCTGTGGATGTTCTACCAGTCAGTGATCGCCAGTGTCCTCTTCTACACCGTGGTGTGCTGGGGAGGCAGCACATCCAAGAAGGAACGTCCAGACTGGACAAACTGATCAGGCGTGCCGGCTCTGTGGTCGGCATGAAGCTGGACTCTCTGGTGACGGTGGCAGAGGCGAGGACACTGAACAAACTGCTGGACATCATGGACGATAGCAGCCACCCTCTACACGCCGTCATCAGCAGCCAGAGGAGCCTGTTCAGTGACAGACTGCTGCTTCCCAAGTGCCGGACCAATAGATTCAAGAACTCCTTTGTCCCCCACGCCTTCAGACTGTACAACTCCTCACTGGGGGTCGGAGGTGACACAGGACAGAGGGAAGAAGGAGTAGTTTTTCTACAAATGTGAACTCCATATTTATCAGGCCATACCATATCACTGGTCAATCTATCCACCAAATTGCTATAATTTCCTTTTGTGTTGTATTTATATTCTTTGTTTTGTATTTAATTTGTATTTTTTTGTATTCTTTTATGTATGCTTACTGTGTGCCACATTTTTGCCTGTGAGCTGCTGGTAACTATAATTTCCTGAGGGAGTCTTCCCAAGGGATCAATAAAGTCAAGTCTAAGTCTAAGTCTAAATAAATGTCCAATATAAATCAATGAGGTCTGAGGTATTAACATGTTTAAATGGGGAACAAATAAATTATGCAGGGTACTTTATACCAGACTTACAATAAGTTAAAGATGTCCAAATAAATCTCCAGTGGTCCATTCGTTAAAATCACATTTTTATGAGTCAGCATAAGTTCAAGTTCCTTTATTTCTGTCACATGGTATGTCTCACTGTATGTTTACATCACGATGACAGTTCAATGCTCATAGGACTTTTTAGAAGGTAACTCATACCCCAATTGTCACGTGAGAGGACTGAAATAAGGTAGTGAGGAGTTTTCCCCTCAACTTTCCACAGTGGAGAAACTTCCTTTTATTTTCTCACTCCTTGGTTTGATACAGAAAGACCCCCAAGGCATGCTGTCCACACAGAGAGGATATCCTGTGCATAAACAGAGGGAGCCTGCATTTGAGAGAAGCTCCTTGACTCTCCACAGGTGTTTCCTGCTGGGTTACTTCCCAGCATGGCACTCCCTTCAGCCTCCTATTGCTGCTATCGTACTCAAGGAATCTTCTGAAGCAACTCACTCGCATGGTGCTGAGATAAACAATGATACCGTCACCGTTACAAAGCAGAATGGCCAAGGCTCCATGACTCACGTTTTCCTCCTGTCGATGTTTAGCTAGCACTGACTAGGAGAAAGGCCAAAGGAGAGAAGACAGCGGGAGATTATTCAAAGAATAACGGCCAGTGGATAAGTACAGCTTTCCCACGCTGTTCTCAACACTAAAGACATGTGCTCTGTTCCTCAATCACTCACAGATGAAACCTTCATCTCCTATCATATTTGTGAGGAAATATACATGTTTAACCAAGAGTTACAATGAAATCAACACCTTGCTGCCTTCTTACTGACCGTCGAGTTTTAGTTAAACAGCTTTTAGAACAGGAGCGATAAACATGTTTTATAGAAAACACATGAAGATGCATCAGCATGTAAACACAAACAAACATCCAATCTCCTACTTTTGGCAAAGGCCTTTGGAAAAAACAGAAGTGCTTTGAAGTCCTCTGGACTTTAATAAAGAGCTACACAAGAACAGGGCATATACTTTTGATGCTGATGACACACAACTTTATTTTGTGGTGTCAATGTATGACCCTAATACACTGAACTCACCGAATGTTCCCGTAACGTCAACAAATGAATGCTTTTATTTTTTTTTTTATTCAACACAAATATAACAGAAGTTATTGTTTACGGTCCCAAAATCCATGGCTTAAGATCAGAACACGGCAAGAGTCAATTGGGTTAAAAACCACAGAGAATGCAAGGAGCCTGTCTTGGGTCTGGAAGTTCACAAGCACAAAATCTCTGTTACCGAATCAGCTTACTTAAAAACATTGCCAGAATAAAGGATTTCATCAACACCGGCCACAGAAAGACTAGTGCATGCCTTTTAGTTTCCGCAGATTAGGTGACTGCAACACTGTCTTTACTGGTCTCTGTAAAAATCAGTCATGCACCAGGTCATACAACATTATGTTTCTCTATTTTGCACTTAATGTATGTATCCTTTATTTAATCACGAGAAGCAACACAAGCAAATTCAAATCCTTGTTTAGGGAGTGATAAGCAATATTGGCTTTTGATACTAAATACTGTAGAAACAAAACCAATGCTGTCGTTACCAATTGACAATTTTCCTACCCAAAGTTATCAGATGATCGTGATGATCAGCATACAATATCACATAAACCACCTGTACCAGCTGTTTCCCTTTGAATTGGCTGCTTTACAGGATTAACCAAGAGGCCTTTCGGAAACATCCCAGCAACAGCAGCCATGGTAACGTACGTCTGAGGGTTTAACTATCTAGAGATTTCATAAAGACACTCACAGCACCTGCCTCTGTGCCATTTACTGACAGTAAAAATAGCTGAGCTTGGATTTCCTGGAATTCTTCCCCTGCAAAGGTTCTACCTGTTCCCAGTTTATGACCCCAGACACTGTCTGATGAGCGCTTATAAAACAGGTAGCCTGGAGAGGAGCCGCTAGCGTCTTAATAATGTTTCTGTTAATTAAAATGTTTCCTTCTCTGGAATGAACCAAGATTAGGAGGACTTATCTTTTCTTTGAACTGCTCAAAATCAGGTCAGCACTCAAATATGGGATGTTTTCTGGCACCAGATTATTGCAGATCCTAAAATGCTGAGTCACCTCGACCTGAGTACGGAATACGAGTGGGACCTGTGCCAACACATCCACCTCCTCCTTATAAATTTCACACAGGTCTTTAATTTTCAGTCTGTCTCAGACTTCCATACTACTCACACTACTCTTCATGTTCCCCCACCCCATCTGAGCTCAAAGTCCAACGCTGTTGTTAAAATTAAACAGCTGCATATCATTCCTGCACTGATAGAAGATCAATAATAGATAATCATCTGTGAAGTTAAACTTGTATAGAACAAAACATCCGGCCACTCCAAGGTTTAAACATCCAATACTAGAAAAATTGAAGGATTGTTGAGATCCCCAAAAGTTTTTCACGCTTTTCAGTAAAAAAAAAAAAAAAAAATCAAAGAAAAGTCTAGCCAATCTCCACAATTAGGTGAGAAACACCGCCATCTAGTGGATGCTCACCAGATGCTGCTCCTCCTCAGTATTTTAAGATGTTAGGTGGTTCAGGATTCCCAGATGTAGCCAATTGTTACTTCATATTTAGCGTTTTAGAGCAAAGAGTCCTGACTGTCTCACATGTAACCATGAGAGAACAGTAAAAACGGTTTCTTCTTTCTGCCACATGATGGCGCTATTATGCAGTAAGAGATGTTTTGCTCAAGGGAGAAAACAAAGTCTAGAAATTAAAATTTTGATTAGTTATGATCAAGAAGCAACCATACTCCTCTTAAGAGAAGAAACACTGTGGACAAAGCTGTTGACTCCCAGTCATGTCCTATTTTCGACTCCTTGTAGTTCCCCCTGTCAATTAAAAACATTTTAGTTTTTCTTAATTAAAGACTAACCTCACATTCCCCTTGCAGAGATTATGGATCTAAAGTAATGAATCAGAGCAGATCCATCCACAACACTTCCTGAATACATTTCATTATCTCTGGCTGTTCACCAAGGCCTCCCAGGCTGGGCAGGTGAAGTAGAAGCAAAATTCTGCACAACTGCCAACTTCAACATACCTCTCCTATTCAGACCAACCCACTTTCTCTCCAATCTCTCCTGAGGAAAAGATCTCACTCTGAACCAAATCCAGTGTGGAAAAAATGGGCAACATGGTAACGGAGATCGTTGCCTTTCTTCTAACCATGTCTGGGTGGATCTTGGTATCATCCACAGTGCCCACGGACTACTGGAAGGTGTCGTCCGTGGATGGGACGGTTATCACGACAGCAACGTTCTGGTCTAATCTGTGGAAAACGTGTGTGACTGATTCCAGGGGGTTGTCCAACTGCAAAGACTTCCCCTCGATGCTGGCTCTGGACGGTGAGTTGGTGGATGTTTAAACTTTGTGACTGCTAGAAGCCAAGACCATATTGAGGTATAGCATTGTGTACTTGTGTAAATCAGCAACAGGGAAAATGGATTGTGAGCTTAATATTTTCATCATAAGTTGCAACAATAAACAAAGGCCATACAATACAAACATACAGAATATACTAAGATTGAGACAGCACCATTACTTGCCAGTCTGAAACATGAACGGCCTTTAAATGTATCTTTCAAAGGGTACAAACATAAATATCAACCTCATACAATAGCAGATTTGAGTAGTTTTTACTAATATATCAACATACTTTTAGTCGTTCCTGTAAATGTATTTTCGTGTTAACTTTTAAACAAATAATTCACTAAGGTTTTATTACTGGGCTTTAATATTTTTGTTGAAGCAGTTTTGGCAGGAATTTTATTTGAGAATGCATCTACAATGGGAGTGAGTACTTATGCTTAAATGTCACAATTTTTTGGTGGAATGAGGGAAATATTCCAAGTATGTCCGATTGTTTCGTCTAAACATTTTATTAAACATTTGTTGAAGACGTCGATAGGATGGTATTGTAAAGACGCAAATATTCCTTTTTATTCTCCACTTACAGTGTATATCCAGGTGTGTCGGGGTTTGATGATCGCTGCCGTGTGCCTGGATTTCTTCGGTGCCACTTTGGCATTGCTGGAAATGAAGCGCACAAAAATAGGGGGCTCGGACACCACCAAGGCTCGTCTGACCGTTCTGTCGGGCCTCCACTTTGTTCTCAGTGGCGAGTTTTGACATATGAGTTAGAAATCAACCAGAATACACAAACTTCCTTTGGAAATTAATGAATGTTGTCTGAACAGGGATCTGCTGCATGACTGCATGTTCCATATATGCTCGTAGGATCATAACAGACTTCTTCGACCCTATGTTCGTTGCACAGAAGTATGTATCCAAGATCGTAAAACATTTCACCCAAAGATTCCCATGAACCTGTTGGTCAGAATTGAGTTTTTTTCCCTACGCAGGTTTGAACTGGGGGCGGCTCTCTTCGTCGGCTGGTCTGGATCCGTGCTTTGTATTTTAGGTGGCCTTCTATTGTGCCTCTCCCTTTCTGAAAGCTTCAGCTTAAGATCAGCATTATTTTTAAGCTTTGCAAATATGGTAGTATATCTAATCACATTTTTAAATAGATTTCTAATTTTTGCAGAGGCAAATACTTGTACACAGGAGCACCGTCATTCGGGACGACACACAACAAGAGGGCAAACAGTCTGCAAATGGAGCCACGAGAGCCGAGGAAACACATAAGAAACGCTTATGTGTGAAGCAAAGTGAACTCTCTTACTTCTTAAGTTAACTGCATAGATTTCCATATTTTATGAAATAACTCAATAACAGAAGCACATATCTAAGGCCATTGTAGATAGAATAAAATTGCTGCCAAAAAACTCACATTTTTAGATCAATTTCAGAAATATTGAAGAAAAATACTTTGTAAGCTTTTATGAATTTTCGGTAAGCTTCATTGTGTCGAGCTGGAGCATTACACACATCACGGACAAATCTCAACTTCAACAGAGTCCACGGCTTCCAGGAAACAATCGTTTCTCACTAGGCGAGAGTCCAGACCTTCTGTACGAAGCCAGAAGATTAAAAAAAATAAATAAGAAGGGCTACCTGAGCAGTTGTTCATTTTTAATAAATCACTAGAATAACTTGCATCAAAAGCCAACTGGAACTAGTAGCAAAGAACAGTTCTTTCATCTCTGCTATGAGAACATTCATTGCTCCCGGGAACACTCATTATCTTGGATTTACCTGTAATTAGAACAGCACAAAGACCCTTTGGTGTATTTCTGGGAACCATGGCACAGTGCGTACCTGGTGAAATGACCAATAACCAACAGCTTACAGCCCAAGGCACAATCGAGAGCGATGCTTCAAGCAGCTCAACTCATACCAGTCGCGCTTTTACATACTTCATGTAGAAACAACAACTGAAACATACGGTTTATGGTCGCATCAAACAGAAGATGGAGTCGAAAAACAAAAACACTAAGACGTATGCTTGAGGAGAGATGCTTGGTGCTAAGTTAAGTGTCAAAAAGTGAAGTTGAAATTGAAAGGTTGTGCCGGTATTTTATGACAGAAATCAGCTGCAATGAAGAGGTTTTGAGAATTAATGCTGCGTTTTAGGTCATTTCAATCTGATTTAAGGCCACATTTTAACTAGACTTCAGCCACAAACGTGGTTAATAATAGGAAGCTTTTGATTTAAAAGGAGTATATTAACTTTATTCTGGGCCAGGTTAGTTAAAAACTGCATTTTGTATGTACTCTGGTAATTTCTGACATTAAAAATTTGCTTAAAGTGCTCAAACATTATTTTTTGTGTGACAAAACATGAAACCACAAGAGGGATATAATAAGGAATATAAAAGTACAAAGACCCTACGGCAGTTTGGCATATTGATATTCACCATTTTCAGTCATAGTTGCTACGTTTTAAGTCAAAATTATTTCATTATTTATTCTGTCTTATTTTGCACATATTCCTGAATCTGTGAGAAACATGAGTGGATGCATGAAGTCCTGTGTAACCTGATATTTGCTTGGTTAAGTGGTTTTAGTCTAGATTCTAATCTGGCAGTTTTCAGCAGTGGCTTCTGGGAACCAGAGCGAATTCTGTCTCCCACCCACATTCTACGAAACACCTGATCTGGTAGACACTCCTTCTGCACAGCATCAGACCGATTCACCTGCTCGACTTTCTTTGAAGAAAGGAGTTGGGTAGGAGTTCGACCCCACATCTGGCTTTACATTGGAGACAGTAAACATTGTTGGATGAGAAATCGAGAGGAGAACCCACCTGCATAGGCCGAAAGATGAAGATCAGAGTGGTCCAAATCTGGGGGTTTTTAATGACAGTGTTAGGCTGGATCTTTGTGGCCTGCACTATGGCCATGGAGGGCTGGAAGATCGCCTCAGTTGGTGGTATGGGTGGTTCGTCCATCATCAAAGTGGCATGGCACTGGTCCAGCTTATGGAGAAAATGCTTCACCGATTCAACTGCAGTCAGTAATTGCTATGATTTCCCTGCGCTCTGGTCTGTGGAAGGTAAGTAAACACATAGTCATGTACTTCGATCTGTAACCACTTTGTTTGTAAATCTGCTCATATAAATGTGTGTCTTGGTGATTGAAGGGCACGTTCAAATAGTGCGAGGCCTACTGATGGGAGCTCTTTCTCTGGGTATGCTGGGGTTCGTACTCAGCCTGTTGGGTATGGAATGCACCCGTATTGGGGGAAAAGACCCTTCAAAGTACAAGAAGATCTATATAGGTGGATTGTGCCACATCATCAGTGGTAAATGTTTGATTTTTTAAATCAAAATATACATGATTTAATAAATCCTGGTCCTTAGTAATTTCCACGTTTTATTATATTGCTTTAAATCATGTCCCCCCTTCATACGTTTTTCCAAATGAAAAGAGTTTTTCCTGGATGCCAAAATGAGAAACTTTACGATATCTACTAAACCTAACCATTATAAGGAATGTAACAAAGTGTGTCGACTGGATTCTCCGTTAATATTTTTAAACATGATTTTCTCTCAGGTGCATTGTCCACATGTGGGTATGCCGTGTATTCAGAGTACGTCATGATCAAAAACTTCGATTCCGGCCTGACTGGACTCGAGTAAGTTAATCAAACAAACATGCATGTTGACCGCCTGACCTTTGAAGCCATCACTTTCTTTTCATTGTAAATCTGTTATCTTTTTAACACAGGTAAAATCTTTGTGTATTAATCTTGCACGGTATTTATGTAATCGTTTTCAGTTACGGCCTTGGCACTCCGTTGTTCCTTGGCTGGGTGGGCTCGGCCTTTCACATGACTGGTGGTTTTTTCTATCTGTGGTCCGTATGCACGCCGCTCTGTGGAAGAGGTGAAAGGTCAGTAATGGAGTCATTACCTGCTATTGGGCAACCAAACTGAAGTGACACTACAGTACTTACTTCCACAGACGATAAACGATAAAACAACTTCAGTGGGCACATGTTTCGGGATTTTAGTAAATAATACTTGGGTCAGAATTTTGTGCCTTCAAAGACAGCCATGCTCCTTAAAATGTTTCATGTTTTGTCATGTTCAAAGTAACAAACTGATAGAGCGATGTGTTAAAAGATTACAGGTAACAGCTCATTTTCCAGTTTTACTTATTAAAATGTTTGTTTGTTTAGGGTGATTAAGGTAAAACCACAGCCAGACCTGGAGAAAAACAAACCCACCACAGCTTCTACTGCCGTGTCAGAGGTCACCTCCAATACCAAACTGTCATCCATCTCTGAGCTGTCGTCCCGGTCCGAGCGTTCGGATGTGTCCTCCTTGTCGACACACACCTCCCAATCTGGGCGTACTGCCAGGTCGGGTCGCACCCCCAGATCAAACGGAACCTCCGAATATGGTTCGGGATCCAGATCAGGATCCGAGTTTCAGTCAAGCCTGTCCTTGGAGTCCAGCCGGTCTTCTTTGTCGGGATCGAGGAGCAGCAGTCGGAGCAGCGGCAGCAGTCGGAGCAGCCGCACAGTGACCTCGCTGTCTGGCAGTTTGAGAAGCGGAACTACGCCGTTTGTCAAAAACGCCTACATTTGAACTGATAAATTAAAATGTCGACGTCAAAATCACTACGTAAACAAATCTGTCAATGTGTCTGACATAAAGCCAAATTCTGATTAAGTTACCAGATGCAAGCTAACTGAATCATTAGCTTTTGAATGTTAGCCGTTTTATGTCAAGTAATTGTCTTTGACAAGTTGAGTTTTATTTTAATGCAATAACCATGTATTTGTAATCTGAAACATCTGGTAGCTTTAAAAAAACAACAACAATAAATCAAAGGGTTAATTCAAGCGTAAAAGCTAGTTAGCTGTAGCCAAACTAGCTAATTTGGCTAGCTACATTAGCACATGTTTGACTGCTGCCAGCATGGAAATTGCCAACATAACAAATTCCACTTCTTATTACAAGATCCAAGCTGAATAATAAGGTCAAGAAATTCAATAATAGCCTCTTTATAATTGAAAACATGTATGTTCAAAATCTGCATATTATTAAATTTTTTTGTTTTGTTTGTTTCTTGGGGAAATTTTAACAATAGATTGTATTTGTGCTGTAAATAATTTTTGTTTTGGCTGAAAACGTTTTATTTGAAAATCTCACAAAGATTTTACACTGACTGCTGATAACTATTCCACATAACCCCAATTGAAAACCAGTAAATAAGTTACCCTTATGAAAATTACACCTGTTGAAACTGAATGTGACAAACTTTACAAGTGAATGTTTTGTAGTAACAAAGTCTAAAGATTGATATAAGTGTTTGTTGACAATAAACAAAGCTCTCTTTTACTGTCATTCAGAAATTCAAGCAAATGTCCATACAGACTCAGAAAAGAAAATTCATCTGTGGTTTTATTATTATTGTTATATTATAAAAGGTTTTTTTTTTTATATATCCTACTGTGTGGTTAAGAACGGATAATTTTACGACACACAAAATATTAAAGCATAATCCACTTTTTATATAAGTATTTGAAAGTCAAACGTGGGTACAATATATATTTATAGACATAAAAAAGTAATAAATAACCAGTTTTGTTCATTTGGGAATATTTTACTGTTTTTTGGGGGGTGGTTTTTCCAGGATACATCCAGGCAGTGAGGGGTCTGTTGAGATTGGGCTCTGCCTCGGATTACTCCGGCTCTTGGTTTTTGGGATGGAGAGTATGTGGATAGGACCAAGGACGGGATGCTGATGGGAGCGTGGGCGGTCCAGCTGCTGGGCTGTAAGAGGGATCAGTTCTCGAGAGCTCAAGCTGCTGTTGTGAAAAGAAAACTCCTACTCACTGGTTTGTCTCGTTTTTCCCTCTCTTCCTCCTCCACCAGGCATCTCAGACGGGGCTGGTTACTGTTTGCACATAAACAAAGTGACTTCAGCTCTTTTACACAACAAAGCAGATTAATCAAAACTGAGGAAGGGTGCCATGTTAGATAAAAACATCAAGATTATGAACAAAAGTACTTGTCAATCACGTCTCCTCAGCTATGAGATCGGACCGCCCCTCTACCTCGGTTTGGTGGGGAGTCTTCTCCTGTTGCTTGGCCGCACAATTCACTGCGTAACTGCATGCAGTTTTCCGCCCATAGAGGTTCGTTTACTTACCTTTAAGATAAAAACAAAACTGTAAAAGGTTTCACATTATGCTCTTCGCTGCGGACAGAATGAAGACCACGTCAGCAAATTGAGGAATATTTTCTTACAAGATGGCCGGCAATGTCGTTGCGTAACAAAATTGCGCCGAGTTTGACTAAGTCCAGAGCCAAAACTACAAACTTGAGGTCTCAAGAATTCTACAGCCTCCATCTGAATCATGATACAGCATGACGCCCACAGCATAACGCTGCCACTCCCATGTTTAACTTTTGAATTTGGTTGACAAAGTTTTGCTTTAGATACAAGCACATTTTAATTTTCGGGGGAAAAAAAAAAAAACTAGACAAGAGTTTTCATACAAAAAATTTTGTACGGCTACATCAATTAATTGATATTGATTACTGCTGTATAAACAGTTTTATTGAGTTACGCAACAGTAAAGTGATCTGAAACACTCAAATAAGAGCAAAGATTAACGAGTGGCCTAGTCAAATCCCAAGAGATGCCGAGATATGTTTAAGCAGCTTAAGGTCCTCCAACCTCCATTTAGCTTAAATGGGTTAGTCTAGATATCTTTTACAAGTTAGTAAATGTTTTGTTTTTACTCCATATTGTATTTTCTATGATTTTTAACATTTTTATATGTGTGATCTGAATCATGTGAGACTAAAACAATTTCAAAGTAAAAAATTTTCCACCTTTTTTTTTTCAAAATTCAGGGGTTTTTTTCTAGAAAATGTCTGAGTTTTTGCAGAAATGTGCTCCTTTTTTCTATCCGCAAATAGGCTGTTATAGGCCTGTAAGGGTGGCTGTAGAGGAGTGGTGTAATATAATCCCTTCACCCAGCTGGGAACATGAAGGATGCTTACTTGGCAAAACTATCTCAAAGATAAGATGAGACACAGCCCAAAGCATTATGGGTCTATTACCTCTCCGCTCTGCAGGTATAACGCAGAGGGGACCTTCAGTCCTGGTTCCCACGGCGAGACATTATTATTTCCGTTTTTAGTTGAGAATCTGCGCCGACCATGGAGTACAGGATGGTAATTATGTACGTGGAGATCGGCTGCTTTGTGACCAGCCTGTGCGGCTGGATCCTGGTGTGCTCCACTCTTCCCACCGAGTACTGGACGTTCTCTGAAGTGGGCAGCATCGTGCTGACAACCGCCAACTACTACTCCAACCTGTGGAGAGACTGCATCTCGGACACGACGGGGGTCTCCGACTGCAAGGACTACCCGTCCATGTTGGCCCTGCCTGGTAAGGCGCTGAAAACTCCACAACTGACTTTTCCTTTATTTTTGAAAAAAAATAAATATATAAATGGTTGTACTTCATTTCCAAAAGCAGCTGTTGCTAATTTTACTTCTGCTTTAGTGTACCTGCACGCGCTCAGAGCACTGGCGGTCTCCGCCGTGATCACAGGATTCTTTGGAGGCGTCCTCACGCTCATCGGGATGAAATGCACGAAAATCGGCGGGACGGAGATCACCAACGCAAGGGTGACGTTTTCTGGTGGTATAACCTACTTAGTTTCAGGTGAAAAAAATAATTTTAAAGTGTTCAGATTTCTTCCATTTTCTTTTTTTTAAATGATAAAACTTACATTTTAAAAAAAGCGTATACTTTTTTTCTGCAGGTTTCTGTGGGATGATAACATACTCCTGGTGGGCTAACAGAGTCGTAACCCAGTTTGTGGATCCAAACTTTAAAGACCAGAAGTGAGCAATACTAAAAGCTTCATTAGAATATTACTAAATAAAACAGATTTCAATGAGTTGTGTCTTCCCGTCCAGATTTGAACTGGGTGCTGCTGTTTTCATTGGCTGGGGAGGATCCATCCTGCTCATTAGTGGGGGAACGGTGCTCACTTACTTTTCTGGAAAAGAAGGCCTACCAAAAAGGTCAATTGCAGCCATTGTGTTCTTATGCTAGTCGCTTTGATTCTCATATCATGTCATAGATCCATCAGAGCTTGCTCCCATTGACTTTGATTCCTCTGGTAGAATTTCGACTGGCAAACATGTTGAAGTTGCGAACGACGACGTAGTTTTTGTGGTCTGACCGGAGTTTTAGGAACAGCAGTGGAGAAAGCTAACGAAACGACGTGTATCAGGGCCATTGAAGATACGGGGGGGAAAAGGGAGTCAATTTCCGCAAAAAACCCAACCTAAATCTCAATTTGTGAGTTTTTACATTTCCAGGCTTTTTTAGAAAAAAAAAGAACTTAGAAATTTCTGAATTTTAAAAGTGGGAAATTGTTACTTTTTTCCCCCCCAAAAAAGTTCTGAGACTGATCTTAAAATGTCTTAGTTTTTTGGTGGAAATGTGCTCATCTTTAACTGTTTGTTTTATCTACAATGGCCCTAATATGTCGTCGTAAAATGAAGCAGTTCAGTCCATGTTGCCCAGACTTCCAAATATTAAAATAGAGTGTCATTTCAGATCGAAAATGATAACAACGAGGCTGGGTGACATGTTTTGTGTCTCTGTTTTCCATTACAGTTCATCAAAAGGCCCACGAAGGCCGGCTTCTTATGCTACTGTCCGCACCAGACGGGCGTACATGCGGCCGCCGTCGTCGTCCAGAGTGACGCTGGTGCCGCCGCTGTATTATTCAGATGGGAGGAGTCAAACAACCAGAGGGACAAGAAGAACCACTCCCATCGAGAACCGGGACACCTTCGTGTGAGCTAAAAACTCAAAACAGAGCGGATTCTGTGGATTCACGGTGCCGTCTGTTTGAAGAAGTTACATTTTTTAAAGAACTTAAAGAGAAATACAATTTCTACTTTCTGGATAAAATGACATTTCTACCGCCCGGATAGTTTCTAAAGGAAAAGTTTGATGAAAGGTTGAGTGCTTCCTAAAAGTTTAAACCGTTTCAAACAGAGAATATGCTTCTGGAAAAACCAAATGTATTCTGAACAGAAGTCTCAGGTTTAGGACGAGTCGCCCTTGATTAAGTCATACTTTTATTTAATCTGTTTGCTGTAATTATGAAAGTATTTTTCATTCCTAATTTTAATGCCAACTCCATAGATTCTTCTGTTTCTGTATTGTCTTTAAAATGAGGTTTAAATTTGAATGTCTAATTTTCTATGTAAAATAAAGCCTTATTTTATGTGGTATTTGGTGGCAAGGCAGAACTGAGGAAACTTGACAAATTAGATTTTTCACGATGAAATGTGTTCTTATATTTTGCTTGTAAATAAAGTTTTATGTTGGAAAAACACAAGTGAAAAATGTGCACCTGATCCTATGCAATACAAGACCATAACAGATTATTACAAAAAAGTAATGATGCAAAGGTAAAATAATTGCTATTTAAAAATGAAAAAAATACATGACTACATTTATTTTTATTCAAATGTTTTTAGTTGCTCACATAAGCAGTAAAAGACAGGATTCTTAAGCTACCGTCCGCAGCAAACTTTTTTTTTTTTTTGCTGTTATCCAATCACTGATAATCATTTCAAGTATTTGATTAAAGACTAAATTTAGAAAACTGGAGTGGCTCCATTTAAACTATGGGGAGTGGAAGGATGACCTGAGTGCTCAAAATCTCATCTTTATTGCTTGAATAAATATCACACGTAAATTAATACAAAATTTGATGTACAAAACCTAATAAAAATGTACAATATTTTGCAAAAACATTCGGTGGCTAAGACGATTTGAACATACAAAAGAAAATATATGGAAATCTGACAAAAAGAAAACTAGAATTGGCACAAGGCATTAAGAGTACCTTAGAATAAAAAGTAGTCCGTAGTTAAAACAAGATAAATCCTATTTTCTAATCAAAATTTGATTCTGGTCTTGAACTGTCTGAACAGCCTCCTGGAAGGTATTGCTTTATTCCCCTTTTTATCACAAAGTCCATAGAATAAATAAGCAGAATAACTTTTCTTTGGCTGGAGAAGTGAGAGGCTGAGGTCCTCATGTTAACTACGTTACCTGATCTGCTGCAGTGCTAATGCTACTTATTGCTTATGTCCTCTGAGTCGCTGATGTCACTGAAGGAGCACAGGCTGCTCTTCAGCGTGCTTCCTGCTCCTGCTTCGGTCGGACCTGCCAGGCACAACAGCGGCAATTACAGCATCACACACGGACCGACACGTTTGGAGTTCAGAGGAAGCCAGACCGTCGGAATGACTCTGACCTGATTTGGGGGCTTTTCCTGTAGACGTCCCCCAGACGCTGGTGCTGGATGAGTCCAGGCTCTTCCTCAGGGGACCGGAGACCCGGAAAGACGTTTGCTTAGATGCTCCCGGTTTGTCCTCCAGAGAGGAGACCATCCATTCACTGCTCTCCTCGAGATCTGTCAACTGTCAACACAAACCCCGTTCCTTTGGTTCTGCAGGTTGACGTTCACTGGAAACTAGTTGCTTCTAATCTTGTCTTCTTACCGACAGCTCCTGAACTTCGTCCTTTCTCTCTGGAAAAACGCTGACGCCCCCTGCAGGCTTCTTTGTTGGTCTCTCTGATATGTGCTCTTCTACTTTTCTGGCCAAATCAGCTACTTTATCTGGAGACAAACAGAACAATTCCAACTCCTCTGACTCAAGAACTGAAGTCAAAGTAAATCTACCTGATACGATGATGTGCATCTAACCTTTACTGTGGATTCCTTTATCATTACTGTTGTTGTAGTTTTTGAAGCCGCGCAGATGCCTGAAGTCAATTTCCGCCATATCGCTCACATCTGACCACTCCTCGTCGTCGTCGTCGCTCTGCGCCTTCGTGGCTCCGTGACGGGACTGCTGTGGTTTAGAGGAGGACGACGACTGGCTGACTGCGCCCTGCCTGGACAGAACCGGAGGTTTGATCTGAAGCGTCAGATTTAACGAATTGACTCGGTCTGGCTGCTCCTCATCCAGGTCGGACTGCGAGTCTAGCGAGTCTTCGTCCGAACTAAACGGCGGGGTTCTTAGAAGCAGAAAAAGATGTTTCGATTTGGTCAATTTTGAGAAAAAATAAGGGTCAAAAACAGCTGAAAATGAGCATCTCCGTACTTGCTCGTGCTAATCCTGAACATCGGCTTCACGTTGGAGGTGGACGTCTTCAGCTGGATGAAGCCTTTGGTCCTCGGTGTCGGCTGCGGAGTCTTTGGCTGCGTGACGGTTGCTGCAGGAACCGCCTGGCTGGATCTGGAGGGCAGGCTGCTGGAGCGCGGCCGAACCTGCATCACTTCACATCGACCCGTTAAGAGCGTTAAGAGACGACGCGTCGGGATGATCTCAGGAGTTAAGAGGCTTTTGTTGCCGACTCACCGTAATGGGACTGTTTGGGTCTCGGGGCAGCTTCGACGTCTTCCTCTTGTCCGCCCAGCTTCAGCTGAACCGTGCTCGCGGTCTCCTCCCAACAGCGCCAGTAGTCGGGCATCGTCTTTGCAACGGCGTCCTGCTTTAAACGCACCTTGGCGAGGAAGGAACCGTACTCCTTGTTCGTCAAGCCTTTCTGGTTCTGAAGAGGAACAGAAGAAGGGGACTGGTTTTATAAATTGATAATCATTAATCGAAAATCAAACGTAACTCGGACAAGTTAATGAAATGTTGATTATTCGTACAGGCTTGACCCCCAGGCTCTCCAGCTTCTTGGTAAGGGAGCGTTCCAGCTCGGCTCGCATCTCCTTCTTGATGCTGGGGTTCTTTTTCACAGCGCTAGGCGACATCTTAGCTTTCTTAGGCGCTTCGGTCACATGTTTACTGGACAGCACTCTCTTCTCAGAGATGCTGTAATCTGGAAAAGAGAAGACAGGCAATCAAAAACAAACAAAAAAATACAAAAAAAATATATATAAAAATGGGTACAAAATGATGCATGCATCAATGATATACAGAAGGAAGCCATGCCATGAGGGGGGGTTAGACGCAAATTTTTGTTTTCTCTTTAGCCACCAACCAGACAACAAACATAAGAATTCATCACGAATCAAAAGTCTTTCTTATTCCAAGTTTGTTCGTCTTTTTTTTTTTTTTAGTTCTCTTGGCACACGAGGAGACTGGTGCACTCATGCAGCGTCATGCAGCCGCCCCGGTTTCCGTCAGTCTGACCCGCGTTTACCTTTCTCCTCTTCCGACAACTCCTGTATGGGATCCAGCTTTAGAGCAGAGGCTGGCTCCTCTGAGCGTTCAGGGGAACAGGCAGTGGGAGCCAGAACAAACGGGGGGTTACAGACGGGAGACTGGGCTGCTTGGGAAGCATCAGCCAGATCATACGTAGACAGATTAAAAAAAAGAAGCTTGTTGTTCTGATTAACTCACCGAGTGAGACCTTCTTTGGTTTGGGTTCTGGGACTGGTGGGCTGGCAGCAACTGGAAGACAGGAGGGATTAGAAGACTTATTTTAAGGTTAGTGTCAAAAACATGCATTTTTGTTTTTAAAATAAAGATACAAAAAACATCTTTAATGAGTTAAAGAAAAAAAAAAAAGCCTTACAGGAATCCTTACCTGGTATTTCTTGCACTGTAGTGGGTGGACTGTAGGAAATACTCCTCACCTGTGGAATGACATTATAAAATAAAAGGAACTTTAGTTTTTACTTCTTAAAATTTTGCTCTTGCAAAAACTTGAATGTAAAGAAAAAATATATAGTGCTTTTGTCGCTGTGTTATCAGAAGTTGTGTCTCAAAATACGACAAATATTAAACTGGTTAGCGGTCTACCATGTCACGCCGCACTGATGCAGTAATTCATGCTTGGCACAAGAACCAAGCACTGACGCACAGAAGTGAATCCACTTTTCAGAAGCAGGGAATTTCTGTTTAAAATATCATTTTCTCAGCAATCTGATGTAATATTGGAATTTTCTAACTGAATTAAGTTTTTCTGTTACCCGTCAACTAAAATATGAGAAACAATAAAGCCTCTGTGTCATGAATTTACATAGGATTGAAACGAAAGTACAAAAGGAATTTTATGAAGATAAAGAATTTTTTTAAACACGATTCCTCCTTATTTCTCACAGTAGACAAACAGAGAATTTGTTTTTTTTTCCTATGAGCTAACAGCACTTAGAAACAACATCAATCATCAGTCATTTCGGAGCTCTTTCTGGAGCTCCTCCAGGAAAGCAGCATTCACTTCCTGTGTACAGTATCATTATGCGTCAACGCTCAAATCCAGGATATCCTGAACAAGGGCCACCACTCCTCCCCACTTCCCCTGGCGACATAATCTCCGATTGCAGCGGAGAGCCAGAAAGCGGAGGCCACCTGCTCTCTTTGAGCCTTGACGGTCTGCGCCTTGTCCTGCAGCCTGCGGTCCATCTCCTGCTGCAGCCTACGGTCCATCTCCTCCTGCAGCCTGCGGTCCCTCTCCTGCTGCAGCCTGCGGTCCATCTCCTGCTGCAGCCTGCGGTCCATCTCCTGCTGCAGCCGCTGGCTCTGCTCCTGGTGCTCCGTCACGGACGCCTGCATCTTGCTCAGCTCGTTCAGCAACTGCAAAGCAAAGCGGTTGGGAGTTTGGGAGAGGGGTGTTACAAGTCCACTCGTTTCTGCTGAAGACGCTTTGATGACGGTGTGTACCTGATTCTTTTCAGACTCGTGTTGAGCCTTGAGCTCTTTGATTCTGGACTCCCACCTTTTGTCCTAGGAGGGAAATGTTGGCGTCAACAAAATACAAAGATAATTCCTTAAAAAATGTTTTTCTTTTTTTAATAACCAGCGACTTTTTACTTCACTGGATAAAGTTTTTAAAACAAAATTCACATTTTTTGTCGATGGAGATGAGCTAAAAAACATTTTACAAATCGACATATTAGAAAATAATTGGCCCAAAACGCTAAGTGACTGTAAACATTCTGACAAATCTCTTACTAATGTTGGTTTCATCAAAATATTACCTGTTTAATTTATTGCTGTGCAGGTAAACGCTACAAAAACATAAAATCTTATCAAGTATTTTAGTCTAGTTTCTAGCGTAAATATTTCTGTTCAATTGAACTAAGACAAAACTAACTTACAGTAACTCTTTAACAAGATATAAATACTTGTTTTGAGTCAATAATTCCTTCGTTTGGATTTTTAAAATTATAGGCCAAACAAACTAGACATTTCTCATGTCGGTATTAAATAATTATTAACCGAAAACGGGCTTGTGCGTATTGTTGAAAACTTACTTATAAGTTAGTTTCAACTAGTTTCAACTAACTTATAAGTATTTTAGTTTAGTCTTATTTCAAGTGAACTAAGACATTTGCAGTAGAAATTAAGACTAAAAATACTTGGAAAGGTTTTGTGTTTTTGAAGTGAAGGAGAAAGAATTCACGACAGTATTATGTTGGCGATTTTATTGGAGAGAAGACGCTAATGTTGGCCGCTGAAACATTTTGGTGCGTAAAGTTCGGTCACCTGAGTTAAAAGACTCTTTTTTTTCCCTCTCTGGTTGCTAACCTGTTTCTTCATCTGCTGCTCCAGCTTGTGGATGGCTTGCAGCTGCACGTCATTGTAAGAGTGTCGATGGGCTTGAGAGTTGACAGGGCTGCTTGGTTTCTCCTGCTTGGCCGTCTGATTCTGATTTGCTTCCTGGGCAAAAGGAAGAATCGTGTTAATTTGAACAATTCCAACTGAGACGATGTCGTAAAAAGAAGCAGAAGCGAGCGGAGCGGTTTGGTTCCTCGTACGGTGAGAGCCTGAAAGTTTCGGTTGTAGAGGAACTCCATCTCCCTGCGCATGCCGTCCCTGCTGTCTTCCAGCTTCTTGTCCATGCGGGCCATCTCCTCCGCCTTGAAGCGCTCCAAGTCCCTCAGCAGGTCTTTGTGCATCGACTGCTGCTCCTTTTCCTACATCAAAAAAAATAAACAACATGGCGGCTGTCTCTTGTTTTTACAGTCCCAGTTTGTGCAATTAAAGGACAGCAAAAACAATCAGACCTGAGCAATTTTGGCCTGCAGATCCTGTTGCTGCTGAGTGATTTGATCCTTCAGACTGCTAATCTCCTTTTTCAGACTATCAATCTGAGATTTCTTCTCGCTGTCGGACTGCAGCTCTGGAAGCACAAAGTTTGAAAACAGTCCGTCGGTCGGCCAAATCGACGTCTGTGACAAATATTCGAAGCGCGCGATGGACTTACGCGAGTGGTGCTCGTCAGGATGCCGGCGCTGTATGTGGTTGTGAAGGAAGGAGGAGTTGAGGAAGGATTTATCGCAATGTCCACACTAAAAAAAGAAAACAGAAAGAACATTTTGTTTACATTGATCACCTGTTACAGCCATTCATCAGTTTAACTGGTTTAAGGAAGGAGTGAAGGAGTTAAAATACAGCAAAATAACTACTGACAGAAAAACCATAAAAGCTCTAAAACTGATACGCCGCTTTTCGCCATTTCCTGATACTCTCTAAGTAAAAGTAACATTTCCTCTTCACATAACGTAACAGGACGAATGCATGAAAGAATGTTGGACACTTCTCTAATCGTGCGACCTTGAAACCGACCCAGAAACCGTTTGAAAATGATTTGAACTTGTAAATTATTTTCCAGCTAGTCTAAATGCACTGAGGTGTGAAATGCACTTTCCGCCCTTCTTAATGGCTTGATAGTTAAGCTAGAAAATAAATTGTCAGTAAGTAAGGGCCAGTTACAAATACTGTTTGACAGTTATTTTGTAACTGCAAAATAGGGGTGGACATTTATTGCATTGTTTATCATCTATTGTGGTCAATTCTTCTAACAACTTTGATTTATTATATTTATGATATAAATTTTAATTTATGCATGGCACACTGATGTCCAGCTGGCTTAGAAAGGCTCCAAAGTTTATAACAAACGCAACCAATTAAATTAATATCAGTTTGCTAAAATTCCACTGTTGAATTATCAGAGCAAAATAGCAAAAAAGCATAACAAGCTCCACAATAAGTGTACACTCATGTGGTAAATAAGAATAAGGTAAATAAGAAATAAGAATAAGGTAAATGTAAATCAATAATAATAATAATAATAATAATAATAATAATAATAATCAGGTAAATCAATATGATATTTTAGCTCTGGGATGATTTGCCTCTTTGTAGTTCAATTTTGTTGCTCAGTAGCCATTTTGACCTTGGCGACTTTCATTTTTTATTTTTTACTAAAAACAATCCATGCGAGCTCAGTACATAAAATTCACTCATATATTTCATTTCACTGTTAATTTTGAACACTAATTTCCTCCACGTGTAAATCTATTTATCATCTAAACATCAATAGAATCAAATGATTATTTCTATGTATTATGAGCGCTATTAATTATTAATGCATATTTCCTCATATGCACATAATAACCTCTACTTGTGGTTATAAGTAGAGAATATACACAAAAACAAGCACTTTAAGTCATTGTCCATTTTGTGAATAAAAACAACAAATCTGACCTTATATTGTTTTAGAATCAGAAGAAGAGGCTGTTCATTTTCCTTTTAAATGGAAGAAATGATTGATGTAAATTTTTGTTTCATATATTGGTTTAAAAACTGAAATCATGCTCATTAGATCTTAAGAATCTCACACCAGCAAACGCCAACTTGTCAATTCCACAGAGAGCAGAGATGCAAATAAAACCATAACCATTATGAACAGGAACATCCACGGAGCTCGGCTGTACATTTCCAAATAGTGATGCCGATATGCTGCCTGCCGCAGGCATCTCTGCAGGCACCTCTGCTCTCTCCAAGACCCCGACCAGCACAGACGCTGCCGGTGTGTCCACACGCTGCGTTTAACGCTGCAGTTCACTGCACCTGGGACTTCGACAGCTGCTGATACTGTCGAAGACCCGAAAATAGCCACACGGATGTGCAATGCTGCTGTCAAAAGTTGTGAAACGGACAATAATTAAAAACGGGCTGTGATTGTGTGGGTTTAAATGTTCAAACAAACAAAACTCCAAGGAGAACGTCAGACGCCTATATCAATTATTGATCCGGCTCTGTTAGGTGAGCTTGTGGCTTACGCCTAGCAACGGCCAGCTGCCGTGAAACGCTAGAGCTGTCGTCATGGCAACCTCTGGGGTTAGGTCAAAGGTGACCAATCGTTCATTCAAGGAGCACAAGGAGATTTCTGATTCTTGCCTCCAGTGATGATGGGCTTCATTCCAGACACGGTGACTTGCAAAAATATGCACAAAAAAATCTGTATTGGTCAAAAAACCCTAATATACTGCATTAAATCCCAATAAAATACATTAAGGTCTGACTATTTTCCAACAGAAGTGGACAACTTTTTCCCATGAGACTCCAGTGACAAAATGGAACAGCAGGCGTGTGGGGAGGGACAGTCACTCTGATTATTGTCTTCTTTTCTTTTTTGTAAGTGGATTTACAAAAAACTACTTGGCACAAAAACCCACCATCTGCTCAGCAGCTCTAAATCCCGTCTTCAGGTCTGAAAGCTTTGTTCTAATCTTACCAGGAGAACTCCAATAGGTTTTATGGAACATGTCTCGGCTGCAGCTGTGCATAGATAATGAGAGAGAGGCCCAAAAGGAGGAGAAAAGCGGGCGAGGGAGGGAGAGGGGGACGTCTGCAGTACCTTGTGACTGCTCATGATCCGTGGAGCCAGCAGCGACTGCTGGGTCCGTATCACCTTCTTCCTCTGCTTCAGCTCGCCCATCAGCGCCTTCGCCTTCTCCTCCTGCTTCCTGAGCAGGGCCAGCAGCTGCTCCCGCTCGCCGGCGGCCGCCGCCAGCCGCTCCTCGGCGCCGCGCAGGTTGGCGCTGAGGATCTCCTGGCAGTGCAGGAGCCACTCCACCGTGAGCTGCGCCAGCCGCAGCAGGTTGATGAGCGCCGGGTCCACGGGGCTCTGGCACCGCTGGCACCGCTCGGCGTCCAGGCTGCAGAAGGTCACGGTGCCGATGTGCTCCTGCAGGGTGTCCACGTCCAGCTGGCTCGCCACCAGGTCCACGTCCACGGCGTTGAGGCGCCGCCAGTCCACGCTCTGGCGGCGCGGGCGGAACTTGAAGGCGGCCGGGACCATGCCGGGCACCGCAGACTGCTGGCTGAGCGGGGAGTTCAGGAGGGAGGGGATCCCCGCCGACGAATGGGTCCCCTGGGTGTCGCTGCCGTAGGGGTAGTACACTCCATCGTGAAATGGCTGAAACAAAGAGCAAAGAGCTCATCTGAAGACAATCACCATTCAGCTCACGTCTTCATCAAATGTCCTAGAAAAACCTCACAGCGACGAGAAATGAGGCAAAACGGCAGCCGACTGAGCCTCTGTCCTGCCCTGCTTACCATCCTTCACTCGGTGAGGTCTCCTCCGGTTCCGCCCACCCGCTTTCAGGCAGCTCAAAGCGTCAACGGGCGCGTCACCATGGAGACAGAGACCAGCGTCCCTGGGGAGACTAATGTTATCAAAACACCGCAGGCAGTCGGCAAATGTTCGTCCCTGTAGACCACATACTTGTCTCAACGTATGAAGAGGTTCATACTGGACTTAATAGCTCGGATACGTTTTGAAATAGTGACGAAAAGAAGACACAAAATGAAAAGTGGAATTTAACTTACCTGGCAGTGTGTGAGGGAAAATGGTTCCGGTGCTAGCAGCGGCTAATTTGTCGGTGTTTTTGAATTGCAGGCTTTTTTTTTTTTTCTTTTCTTGCCCCCCGCTTCCACTCCAGCTTGGACCGCTATCCAAACAAAGCAAAACAAGCCCGAACCTGACTTACATAGCTGTCTAAACGCAAAACATCTGCATGTATATTGACAAAAACTCCACGCTTCTTTCCAGTTGTATCCCGAAGCCGTTACTTTGCTAACGGGGAGTTTTCAGAAAACCGCTTTAAAAAACACATTTAAAACAAACGTACCCATCACTTACAACAACAGAAGAGGCATATCAAGGTTTAATTGAGCATTTTCTATCGAATAAACTTACGAGAGTGGTCGGTTCGTTCATGTAAAGCCGTTTTAAAAAGTTTTTAATCGACGACACCTCAGGCAGTTTGTGGGTGACGTAGCTGCTGGTCTCCACATTCCTAAATCCGTGGCTCGGTTGGAAAAGAGGGGCCGCCATGAAGCTAACCGCTAAAGAACAACACTTCCGGTCAATACCTTCAAAGTAAAAGGATACAACTAAATCTATAATAATATTTTATTATTATAATATTTTCTACTTTACTGAATAAAGTTCAGTTTCCAGAAGGTTCCTGGTATGGAATGTTCCCAAAATTTCAGAACAGGAAAATTGCAATTAACATCAAGTCTCAAAAATGTAGCCGTCACAAAACCCTCTGGAACCATTTAAGGATGAACCACAAAAGGGAATATTCCCTGCAAGAAATTCATTAATGGTTGTACAACATGGCATCAAAGGTAAGGTCACCAGGAAAAAGTAATAAATAACCTTTGCTAAACCTTAAGAACAAATTATCTAAAAGACACAACAACCACATCAGCTTTCTGGAAAAGAAGGAACATGGAAGGTTCACTAATGAGTTTAATTGCGAGCTTACAGACAACGCTCAGAGAACTTTCTCTAAAGGTTTGAAAATATGTACTTTCTAGAGAAAATTCCCTCGAAGGTTCACATTTTAATAAACTTCAGATAATGTTCTCTGAATGTTTTTGTTTTTTTAATATGCATTGAAATAGGAACTCAATGTCTAGGAACTGTTCTCTAATGATTCAGATGTTTGGGAAACGTTCCCTAAGGCTCCCTATGATCACTGTGAAAAAGTTACAACTTAAGTTTCCTCACACAAGTGTTAACACTTAGTTTTAAGACGTCTTTATATATAAACAAGAAGTTGAGCAGATGCCATGTGCATCATGGACATGAAAAACTACAGCATCTATTTCAAGTAGTGAATATCAAACGCCTAACATTTACTTTGAAAGAACAACCGTTCGTTTCCGGTGTTGATCCTTCTTTTATGTTGCAACTGGCAATGAGATGGGGGGGGAAGGGAGAAGACAGCTTTGAAAAAGAGGGGAAGCCTAAGAATGGGATAGTGACTTTGAGGGTCCATTCAAAGGAAAGAAACTTTTTTTTGGGAAACTTATTACCAGACATTGATGACAGTGATAGATGACTTGTCTTCTTCTTCTTTAAGTAGCTAAAAAAAACTAAGTTTGAACTTCTGTTTGGTAGCTTCTGGGATTACAGTATTATAAAGATTGTTCTGTATTTGCTTAAAAAAAAGATTCACAAATATCCATGCTACATCAGGGAGATAAGGTAATTAAAATAAATTCTCAAGACCAAATAACCAAAATTGCATTTTAAAAAAAATCCATCTTAGACAGGGAAAACAGGCAAAAGTGGCCGGGCAGTGCAGACTATTTTGCACTTCCAAATGTTTGCAGAAAAATTATGTATGCAGCAATGTTAAAGAGAAAAATCTGTTGAACGACTCTTGAACAAGTGAAAATTATTGTGCTCACTTTAATTTATGATAGGGTCTATGGATAATGAAAACCAAAAATTAAGTATCTCAGAAAATTCGAATATTCCATCAGATCAATAAAAAAAAAGAATATTTTAAATGTCATGTTTCTGAAAAGCCTGACGTAAATTTTTTTTTGAATTAAATATTGATGGGGTTTCTTTTGCATGAATTACTTTTTCATTCTTACTTCAGTCATTTCTCAGACGGCTACGTTTTACTTTCACTTGTGTAAAAATGTGTTGAGTGTTCTCTAACATGTTTCCTCATTTTTGATAAGAACTGTCTACTTAATGCTTTTGTATGTGATATAAAAATCAAATACATGCATTATGATTATTATTATTTATATAATCAACATGTTTCCGAAAAGATAATGGAGTGGAAAATGCTAATTTGGAACAAACAGGTTTTTATACCTCCAGGATGTGGTTTGAATTAATTTCCTAGATGCTCACAGCCACACTAACATGTTCACCAAGTCACCAGAAGGGGTCAGTAGAGATCTGATCTGACTTCTGTCATGAGTCGGCATCTCCTGGTGGAGGATTGATGACAGGAAGAAAATGAACTTTTGCTTTACAAAGAAGAGAAACTGGAAAAAAAACAAAAAAAAAAAAGCAGACATATTTGCTTATACGGTGCTTTGATCGCACAGGCTTGCTCTCTGAATGTTTCATTTAGTCGCAACGTTGTGGAACAAGTCGCACACAGGGCGGTGCTGTGATGTCAAGCAAACTGGACTGCATTGTGTTAAACTCTTCATCAGAGTCCCAGTGCTGAGGGAAGCTGGGCCATCTCTGCGATCAGTCCTCTGACAGCTTCAGCCCTCTTCTGATGAATAGAGATCTTAATTCTTCCAGACAGAGCCGGGGCCTGTCAGCACAGCCTGAGGCAAGAAGGGAACATCTCCTCCCAGGCCTCTCTCACCGCCGCCATCTCAGCAGAGAGCTGAAGTTCAGCTGTAGGACAAGGCTCTGATGCCGTCCTCGCTTCAATTTCCTATCAAACTCAATTTTCTGTCAAGTTCTTTATCTCAGCAACGTTCCTTTTAGCCCTCAGGTCACAGCTGTGACACAAAGTTGGGTGTAAAATCCACACTTTTTTGATAAGTTTCTCCAAAGCGAGACCCGAACGCATGGCAGAGGAGTTGCGGCGTTGCATTAGTCACGCGGTACAAAAAATAGAAAAAAAAACGGAGCAAAGCCAATGCAGAGGTAGAGGAGCAGACCTCTTGAGATGAGTAAGCACAGCCCTACACTCAATTTACTGCTTGATTTATGAGTTCATTTCCTGTACGAAAGTTCTCAGCGGGGGTGAGGTGGTATATCTTCCCACTATAGGTAGCTGTGGCTCCACTTCCCAATCCCCAGGAGAGCCACTCTCACCACTGCGGGCCTTAGCAGGACTATAAATAAAGGCTTCTGTAACAAGTGCGCATTGAACACAGAACGGAGAGGACGGCCCGGCATCTTTATTCATGAAGGAGCTTCTTATCTTCCGATGCGGCGGAGCACTCTGCATACCGAGACACCGGATACAGTCAGGCTGTACAGTATCTCTGCTCCCTAATAACAATAGCCCAAATAGTTCTAATGCTTTGATGGTAAGAGAGATGCTGTTGAGTTAAAAAAAAAAAAAAAAAAAAAAAGTACAAGGTAGCAAAAATCCAGCTCAACAAAAGGACTACGGATGAGCCTCACTTAAATGGCCGAGTGCTTTTGTGAAAAGAATATTTGGAGGATTTAACATTTTAGAATTAAAACCTTGAAAGAAAGGGATTAAAATACACTTTCTCCTCTAAGTATAGTAAGAAAAGAAGATTTTTACGTTTGAGAGCTTGACTTGAGAGGCAAATGCGTCTCATTTTGTGACACTGTTATACAACAAATGAGTGATTTGACTTGGTACTGTGTAATCCATCATCTGAGAGTGGAAAGAATGTGCCACAGGTGTTAACCCACTTAGTCACGAACATCCATTAATACACAACTCTGTGAAGCAGCCAAGAATTCCTCGGAGTTTGTGGGAATTTCATCCTGCGTTACTGCCCACACGCGTGTACCGACTTTTTCAACCCAGTTCGGACCATTTACCAGATCACAATCCAGACAGACGCGAGTGTCAGCTTAGCTCACCACAGCAGGCAACTTGAAGCCGAGTGGCGATGCAGCCTGCCACTGCCCACCGGTTTACCACTCAGCTACTTTGTTGTCTATTTTCTACGAAGCAGCAGCAGCAGCAGCAGGGGTCACCAGTGGTGAATCAGCTTTGTGGGAAGGAGAGATGAAAGAGTTCTGCACTGAGGAGGGGAGAAGGAGAGAAGCATCCCACTGTTAGCTTTCTTTGTCCCCTGTGAATGTTGCTCGGGTCATAAAAGACCCCAGCACTAAAGAATTATATAAATATAAAACCGAGAAATGATGAAGTTTGCACTTTTTTCCCCCCCTCTCATCCTCCCACTAAGCGTGGAGGTTTTGCTCTGTAGGGAAAATCAGCCACAGCAGCAGGGGAGTTTTTTTTCTTTTTAAGAGAACACAGGTAACAGGACTGAAATATATATGGAAAATAATATAAGATGAGTGTGCTCATGGGCAGAAGTTGAAACGCAAACACTATTTCTACACTCCATACACATTTCATGCACGTCATGAAATGCATACATGTTTGTAAAAGCTAACTTTAGAGGGGTTTTAATCGAAGAGTTCCCATTTCACTCAAATGTACACACAAAGAAATGCACTGTGGTGTTGCATCCCCTTCTACAGGGTAGCTGTCCTCAAAATGTCAGCTTAACATATTGGTTCAACCAGCTACTTTGTTAGTGCAGATAGTCGCAGAGGTTAACCCAAAAAAATAGTTTTATTTGCAATCTGACCTATAAAAAGTATGTCTTGTGCTACTTAACGCTTCTGTTGACTCCAGGAGAGAATTATTAACAAAAGTTGACGCTATATTTTGTGTTCAGTCAACATGTTGCCCTTAGCATGAAGCTAGGTTAATGGGAAAATTGTCTCGCAGAGAAAAAGTGGAAAGCCATGGCCTGGTTTCATGCAAAGGGCAATAAGAAGCTACTCTATGGGTCAATGTCATTTAATGTGAGGGTTATTTGTATGAACGGTGTTCAATTTTTAGCCAGAAACAACATTTCAACCCAAGTTTTCAATGTCAAACAAAGAACTGTTAAATCAATTGTCATGACTAGACAGGAAATCTGGAATGAAAGCCATAAGAAGTCTCATTCAGTCATGCAGGGAGAACAGTAATCACGTAGAAGACGGTATTCTGTCCAAAATGTAACTTTTGGACAGAGGTTTAAAGCACTGTGTATGGTAGATGTGAATACTTTTGGAGACTGTAACTGTTGGAAGCTGATTCTACCAAATTACACCTCGGCTGCATTGTTTGTCGAAACGGCGTCCTGAGGTAATCTAGGTCATCCACGACGGCTTTGCACCATTTCTTCTCTTTACAAACCAGCTTTTTGGCATTTCACTGATGTATTTCGCCATGTAGAGTGAAACAGGCTGCACAGAGGTCCTAAAAGTTCATGCTCCATGTCACCCAATTTATAATTAGAAATCAATGTTGGAATCCCAGTTGGCGCTCACTCGCCCTATGTTGCTATAGG